ATATCCCCAAGTTTCGAGACATTTTAGACATTGTACATAATAAATCTACCTGACAGGTTATCAGTGATAAGAATAACACAGCATTTCAGAATTCAAATATCTGTCAATAAATTGATCAATAACCTCGTGACACTTGACAGCTACGTCAACGTCAAAATAATATCAATTCCCCATTAGTGTTGCAGTTTTTGGTAAAAATAAATTATTAATACCACTGAAATAAAGGCAAATATTCGTGGATTTGAATGACCTAGAGTGGTATTATGTATTATTTTAATTTATTTCCCTATTTGTACAAAACCAGGCCTACGCTTCATACAATTTCGGACCGTCTCCTTTAGGATGTACTGCTGGATGCGTGTTAGTTGTAGATAGCACACCTTTGGGCCGCGAGGCCGTAGGCGGTCGCCCACGTCGCCCACGCCTTGCGCCGCCTCTGAATAAAAGCATCGGCAAGCTACCTTCACAAGTACTCTTTGGTACAAAAAACACTAATTTGCCTGAAAGTCATCTCCACGGATTTTCAAAAGATAGATTAGCATGTGATACTCGTAACTCAAGGGAAATTCGGAAGCAAGCTACTATATACAAGATAGGATAGGATCCTGTAATGGCAATGAAATCTACTCGAAATATCAGAACTAGTAATAAATTGATCCCAATTGTGGACCCTATAAAATAACTGCTGTTATTGAAAATGATAGATATGAAATTAGTAGTATAAGTGGATTTTCCAAACAACCATATAAAATATATATTCAGCTGACAAATTAAAACCATGGATAAGACTAAGTGCAGGAAAGGCTTATGATACAGAAACTGAAACTGACTATGCAGAAAGCGATTAAAAAAATGTTTCTTTTCTCTCCTCTCACTTTTTCCTTAATCCTAGACATTACTTATAACACTTCCTCCCATTTCCCTAATCATCGTATAGGTACATTCGAAAGTGGAAGATAAAACTGCAGCTCCTGGTGTGGGCTGTGGAAATCAGAATAACAATGCATGCCCTGTGTGCTTGTAATTACTAGCAAGTGCGCTGTGTGCGCATGCCTCACCTAAAAGCGCCCTGTGTGCGTAAGCTTTATTTGCAAGCGCCCTGTAAGCGCCATGTGTGCGTATAATTTATACTTATATAAGCGTCCTGTGTGCGCATGATTAACCCGAAAACGGCCTGTGTGCGTATAATTTACCCGTTAGCGCCCGGTGTGTGCTAAATTTACCGGCATGTGCCCAGTGTGTACATGCTTTATCTGGAAGAGCCTACGTGCGTACGATCAAGCTGCTAGTCCCTTGTGTGCTGCTTGCGTTAACAGCAGGCGCCCTGTAAGCGCGTGCCTTGTGTGCGCGTGCCCTGTGTGCGCATGTCCTGTGTGCAGTGTTACGCGTGCCCTGTGTGCGCATGTCCTGTTTGCATGTGCCCTGTGTGCGCGTGCCTCGTGCACGCACGTCTTGTATGCGTGCTTTATCTGCACGTGCCCTGCGTGATGTCATCTACACGTACTTTCGGTGTCTGTTTGTGCTCAAAGTGTAGTGTTTATTACGTTAAACTGTTTGAGTATAAGTGCATAAAGAGGAAAATGCGGACATTTTTTGTGACGGGGTGGCCGAATATGGCTCACAATTCAAAATAAGGAAAGTATTTACCTTGTTGCTGTTAATAATTTAGCTGTTTACTGTTTTGAGTAAAGTACCCCTTATTGTTTAATTAATCAAAAAAAATAATCAAAATTTACCTATTACCTAACACAGTCTATATACTTATAATATTTTACTTTATTATTTGAAAACAATTTAATCTCAAATTGTATATACGTCATACTGGAATTTAATGCCTGGCAGGCATCATACAGTAATCTATAGGCATCAGTCAGAGTGGCCGATTGTTAGATTTAAGTATTTAATTTTATAAATTGTGTAGCATTATAATATTATCTTTACATTTAGCACTTTTTCAAAAGATTTTTATTGTTTTCCGTTTCCGAACAAAGTGTAACGCAATCTAATAATAGCTCGAAGGAAGTTTTTAGGCAGACGGATATATTGTTAAAAGCAAAAACTGCGCGGTATGTATTAGAACACCTACATCTCGCTGACAATGAAACTATATTCAGTTTTGATGTTCAGTCACTATTCACATGCCAACCTATTGAAGACTTCATCTCAATTGTAACTAGGAAGCTAGAAGATAATAACATGCCTGCTGAATATGCAGTATTACTCAAACACTGCCTCACATCTGGCTATCTATTGTGGAAAGAAGAGTTATACAAGCAAGTAGACGCCGAAATATTCATGGAGGACTTTGAGGAGAAAACCCTTCTTACTGCTCCTGTCCAATCCAAGATTCTACGAGCGGTATGCAGACGACACTTTCACAATTTTACCATCTGACAAAGTAACTGCATTTTTAGGACCACCTTAACTCCATAAACTCTAAAATACAATTCACGATGGAGTTAGAGGCAAATAATTCTTTAGCCTTCCTAGATGTTTTAGTCATCCGAAATCCTCATAACACTATTGGTCACACTGTGTATAGAAAAAAGACGCATACCAACCGATATCCAAATGGTGAATCTCACCATCATCCTCCACAGTTAGCTACCGTGGGAAATCTTTGTTTCAGAGATCACGAAGGAGGACAAAAAACATCTGGCCGCTGAGCTTCAGTACGTCAAGCAAGTATTGCAAGACAACAAGCTTCGGTCGGACAACAGTCAAGCGTGTGCCTGCTGTACTACCGTATGTGAGAGGAGTCACAGATAAGGTTGGCTATATCTTGAAGCGACCTTCCGTTAAAACATACCACATGCCGCCGAAGAAGATTAGTAAATTTTTACCATCCGTCAAGTGTAATATCCCTCTACAAGATGCAGGAGTGTACAAAAGTTAGATTGTGAATGTGGTCTCTCTTACATAGGTCAAACAAAAAGATTCATAAGAACTTGCGTAACAGAACATACAGCTGACGTGAAGCACCGACGCTCCGGGAAGTCTGCTTTCTGTGAACATGTGTAAGATCGTCTCCACCATTACATCAGATTTGATAAACCACAAATCCTCATAAAAGAACACCGATTCCTACCAGGGATAACATGTGAGTCTATTGAATTTAAAAAACATCTCTAACTTCAATAGAGAAGATGAATCGGTGCTGCCATCTGCTTGGGATTCTATAATTAACAAAATTAAAACCAAACTCATGCATACCACTGTAACACTTCAAGATACTGTAAGCTCGTTCTGCGTAGATCGGACCGAAAATTAATATTTAAAACTGAAGGTAGTCAGGCTAACTATGACATTAGGACGTCAAACATCTCAGCCCCCCCCCCCGTGACTATGGGTGCTGCAAAGCACCCGAAAAGTCGGGAATTTAAAAAAAGTTAAAGTTGTTAATTAAACGCGATATAATCCGAAAATATAGTTTTATTCGATCTTGTATGAATAAAATAGTTGGTCAACCGCAGGAGTCCAAAGAAGGAGTGACAAAACATCGCCTTATGGTCAGCCTCTTGTAGTTGCAACCTTAAATGAAGTATGGAACTGTGCTATTTTTGCCTTTCTGTTTGAGAGCATCGACTTCACCCACCCGATGGTTGTGGGATCAACAAATTGGATGTAGGCTCCTAATCAGCAGTGATGTGGGCTACTGTTTAAGGCGCTCTCAATATCTAGAGAGGAACAAAGAGCTATTTCTTTATCCTCCAGTGCTTTTTCGACCCTGTCAATAACACTGGTCAAGGCTGTTTCTGTGGGTTTACCTCTACGGTAAGCATGGTGGTTGTAATGTATGGGCCTCGTAGCTAGAGCTACATCCCTTATATCTATCTATCTATAACCGTTTCCAGAGTCTTAAGGCACTCTTATACTGACACTTTAGGTATTTAGCGCATCTCCAGCGCGCGCGCGTAATAAACAACGCAAACACCCCAAAAAAATGAACTCACTTGATCCCGGCACCGTGCTACTACAGATCACAGTACAAAATAGTTCGCAGTAGGACCACTTCTTATGATTTGAACTGTTTTTAGTTTGTAGTGAGTAGTTACAAATTAAGTCTTTAGTTAATATTTTGTATGATGTTGTATTAAATTTATACGTATTTAGTTTTTTTTACTGATTTCGATTATTTCAAAAAAACTTCGTATAAAATGTTAAATTAAATTTCTTTTTAATAATTTTATGTAAGTTTTACAAATGCGTAAGTATTCAAAGATAAATAATTACAATAATGATCTAAAACTACATCTTAACCAATCGATCAACTATGAAACAATTTCTAAAACTCTTCCAAACTGAGTTGGTGAATTCTTTCAAATTTTTTGTCAGGCTCGTTAGACATTTGATGGTCAGTCCTGAATAAATCAGGTCTATTATTTTCTTTGTCTGGTACATCAATTACAGAAGTGGATCGCCATCCCACGCGCATATCTGCTGTCAACAATTTCTGTGAGTAAGCAATTTTTATAAAAAAGTACTAACTTTGGCTCCATAGTTTTCCAAAAGTCATCATCACTTTCAATATATTTTGTGAAAATTGTTTCATTGTTACCTGACCAAATTCCTAATAAACAAAATTTCCTACCCGTAACATGCAGCTGGCCCTGAATTTGGTAGTACCAGATACTTTTCTTGTTTACGGTCACTGTGTCTGTTTTTTTGTCGTATTTGAGAATTTGAATTTTGTTTTCCTTAATTGAATTTTCAAGACCTTTTTTAGAAGCTGTAATGGGACACTTTATTTCTACTAGCATATCATCTCCTATCAGTCCGTCTGGAGTTGCACCGATAAATGGATGAGTTTGATCGATAAATAATCCACAATGCATAATTTTCACATTTTCTTGCTTTTCCAGTTGTTGTAGAGCTTGACTTTCATGTTCGATTCCGTGGCAAATGGAGGCAACGTTTAATAAATTCTTTGGATATAATATATTTTTAACAAGTGAAGCAGTGCCAGAATTAGCTTTTCATTTACATATAGGTCCGAAATTTTAAGCTGTAACAAGATTTTTTCTTAACTCAAGCCATTCACTGCTGTCCCTTTGCAATACGGTAGCCCTTTCAATAGCATTCCTATGACATGTAACATCCTTCAAATTTTTCATAAATTCTTCTTTAGCTTTTTCTAACTGTTGAGGAGAGATATCAGGTGCTGCACTTGCTGGACCATAATCATGTTGCTTTTTGTTAATTTCCTTTAATATTCTTTTCTTTTTTGGATGTTCAAAATTTATCTTCCGTTTTTGAGACCTTTTTCTTTCTACAATCACAGCATTTCCTCCGGGACATTTGCCAGTAAAAGCCGATTGAACTATGGATATTGCTGATTTGTTGTTGAATGACACTACTGCCTGAACACCTACCTTGATAACCTCCTTTCAAAGCAAAATTGATTCGTTTTCCTCCAACAAATTTTGCAATTACACTGTTAAAGCATTCGACATTGTTGGTATCCTCGTCTTCAATTAAACTTCGTGATTTTGCTGCAATACTGGAAACAATGGCATTTATCCTAAAAATAAAGGTTGAATTTTGAATTAAGTTCTTCATTATCATTTTTTCTTTTGTACAGTAATAATCCTGGCAAAATCTATGGTCACCATACGCATGTGACACAGAGTTGATAATATCGTTGTGTAACATCGGTATTACAACATCTCGAGAACTCTGCGACACTTTGTGATGTTTTATGGCTTTCACAATTGCTTTCCGCATTGTTAAAATTTTTACATTAGTCAATGTTTTTCGTTGAGCCAAAGCGTATTTTGTTTCTGTTATTAAATTACGCATTCTTTTACAAAAGTTTCGCAAGATATGGTTACGGCACTCAATTTTTTCGACAGTGACGTTTTGTTCTGCATATGGTCTGGCCTGTAGGATTTTCGCGTAAGTAGAGGCGTCACCATCACCAATCATTCTACCATATATGAGGCCGTATGAAGATATAGAAGACTTAAATCCTTCGACTATAATCTCATTTTCCATAGACGTTCACGATCCTTCGTAATTTTTGAAGCATTTATGCTCCTTAGGTGAAATATTGTTATTTTCAGCTCGGGCACACAAGACAGTATTTATTTTTCACCCCAATGTAAAGAATTTGACCAGTTTTTCTGCCGATAATAGCTGCAGTACCAGATAATGCTTTATAATTAGAACCATAGGATCGAGCGCACCATAAGCCATCAACGAGAACATCAATTACGGGAAAACCACCCTTGGTTCGGCCTTCTTCGATAGCTATTTCTTTTCTTTTTCTGCAGCTGCTGCCATAGAAGAACTCGCAGTTTGTTCCCATTTTTAAGAACCTGATCTTGATATTTGGTGTAAGAATTCGGAGTAAATACTGGAACGTCTATTGCTGAACATAGCTCTTCAAATTGAGAATAACCAATACCAGAAGCAGTGATGCCAGTGGTCGCGGCAATGTTTAGATTAATTTTTTCAGTATCATGTGTGTTTTCAGATGTAATTGTACAGATATGCTTGAAAAAAGATATGAGTCCTTCTCTTTTTTCACCCATTAGACGAAAATTACTCATGTTACAGCTGAACAATACATTATGACAAGCTTTTTTTTGTAACTCTTCCAAGAGGTAATTAATATCAATGATCCGCCGTCCTAGAACATGCTGAAATTCTTCAATGCTTTTTTCAGGCTCAATAACGTATGAATCGTCATTGTCATCAGTTGGTCTGAAAAATAAATTCAGGGAAAAATAAATAAATTCAAATTGTATATGAACCCCCTTGGGTTCATCTACCCGTGAAACTGAACAACTTTCCTAAAGAAACCCATATCGTTATTATCATATAAAAAAATCGATCTCCCAAACAAAATATGTTGCTTGACTGGACAATTTGTATGGCAGAACGATTTTTTTTTAAATTTCGATATGGGCTTCTTTATTTTTAAATAGCTACTTACACATAATTAGTTATATTCTATACATTAGAATTCAATGTAGTTGTGCTACTGCTGGATAAATTACTCTGTTGTCTGAAAAATACATTGTCCAATTATTAAAACAACATGTGTCAGCAAGTAATGAGAGAAACTATAAGGCCTATAAAGCCTATTAAACTATAAAGCGGGCTGACAGTGGTGCGAACAATGGATTTCCATTGTCCATGCCACAGTCACTAATCACGCCAATATTATAAACGGGAAAGTTTGGATGTTTGTTTGTTACTCAATATCCTTGAAAACCACTGCACCGAATTGGATGAAATTTAGTTCACAGATAGTATATGACCAGGATTAACTTGGGTACTTTTTACCGGTTTTTATAAAATACATGTACAAGATGTGGCGAAGATCAATTATTTTACATACCTAATGTATAATATGTAGATGAGTAAAATAATAATTTGTTTTTAGATGTCAGTTTTCGCTAACACACTTACTTTTCAGGTCCGTGGTGCATTGCACTGAAAACAAAAAAAGGTCACAATTGCTACATTCAGTGGTCTTACTGTTGTATACTTACACTGCGACATATAAAGTAAAAATAAAACTATTGTTTTTATTGTTTTTACGTGAAGTTGCATTTCTTAATTTATTTGTTTTTATTAAAAAGTGAAAATAAATCAACAGGTATTCATTCATACTCACATTAATGTTTTTTTCAATCTTCGTATTTTTAATTTTGATAATTTTTTTATATGCTGTTTTATTTCCCATGTTTTTGAAATTCTTATATTATTTCTGCAATTATGAACTGCACTTATATGCTGAAATATAAAACTTCAATCTTAAGTTTACTCGCGATTAATATTTTCGAGATCGGAACGGCGGTGCGCGCGAAAATTAGACACAGAACCTGCTTCGGTAAGGCCCGGCGGCGGGCGACTAGCTTGAGCAGAGCTTGCATTCTATAATTCTATTATATATTATTTAGATTTATAAAAAGTAAATAGCAATTTTAAAAAACGAACCACAGAATTGTTTGTTAAAAACATGCTTGGATATTGTAGTTTAATTTTTATAGTAATTTACGTGGTATTTCAGAAATGAACCGAAATAATAAAACTCAAAAGACCAAAGTTTAGATAAAATTTCTATCGAAAAAATTTTGAAATATAATGTTTTCAACCGCAGATTTGTGAACCTCATATCCTTAAATTTGTTATGTATTTTTTTGGGTCTTGGAAATTTTATTAGAGTCCATGAAATTGTCTTGAATATCAGTAATTTACTAATAACCGGGCCTTAAGAAGAAAAGAAGGCAGCAGGCAACTTTGGTAAAGCGTAGTCCTTTCTATCAGCTTTTGGTATAAATAGAACTTTGACAATTGTTCATTGTGCTGGAATATATCCCCAAAACTTGCTCTGAAGATTTTCACCAGATAAAGAAGAAGGATATCGATACCCCTCCGTAGTTGGATGGGAATTATTCTATCCCCGCTTGTTGTTGTATACGGTTTAAAGGACTCAATAGCCCACTTGACTCTGGTTACTTTTCCTCTCGGCCACACGTTCCTAGGTAAGTTTGGGTCGCAGATGACGACTAGGTTACCGACCTCTGGAGTGATACCGACGGTGCGAGGTTTCCGCCGGTGTTAGAGTAAGGGGAGATATTTTCTCACCAGCGTTTATACCTGGCGCGCAGACTGATCTTCTTCGGTGAAACTGCCTAGTGCCGGAACATGACTATTGGGTCGTAGCAGGATATGATTAGCGATCAACGCTACTGGTTCTTCCGGTGTCACAACCACATGCGACGAGTTGACGATATTCTCGACTTCGACGAGGAGTGTGTGCAGAGTCTTCTCGCTTGGGCGCTTCTCGTGTAGCGTGAATAGTAGTGCTTCTTTCACGCTACGCACTAGGCGTTCCCATACGCCAGCCATGAAAGGTGAGGCGGAGGAAATATAACGCCAGTTGATGTGGCGCGCGTTGGCCTCTTCTTTCATCGCTTCCCAAACTACTTGTACCGCTTCTTTCAGCTCTTTGTCTGCGACCTTGAAGCATGTCGCGTTGTCCGTCTATAGTTCAGTTGGCTGGCCTCTTCTTGCGATGAATTTTCTTATTGCTGCTAAAGCAGAGTCCACACTCAGTAATGTGACTTTTTTCATTATCTTTTTTTCGTGGGAGAATTCTCATGGACACCTTTGGCTGCGGGGCAACTGAAAGATTATGCCAGACTCCTACCGGCTTAAACCCCACGATGGTCTCCATAAGCATGTAAGAGAGGTCTCGGGATCTCCATTCGGCACGCAACCGGGCCACTCTCTCGCTTTGATTTATTAGAAGCACGACCCGCGGGCAGTAATTACTACCCCCAGCACCCTCGCAGTGCTATCGCGATGTTTCGGGACCACTTACGAGCCATTGTCTTCTTCTTTAGCCTCCTCGGGGGTTACATTACTAGGCATTCGAGGCCCCCGATCGAAATGCCTGCAACCCCAGAGACTCCGTTTCTGGTAAGGGATCCCTATCTTCAAGGGGAAGGCCGTGATAAGCGCCTTGACGGCGTCGTCTCCAAGTGGGGTCTGTCCTTCGATCCAGCTCAGCAGCCTCGTTCTGGACCATTACGGACTCACAGAAGGTGGCTACGGTCCACCACGCTGAATCCTCGCTCAGCATCGCCGACACGACTGCTGGCAGGGAGAGGTTTCGACTGATCTGGCTCCCCAGGATTATCCGCCCCCCGTTCCCATGCTGGGCAAACCGTAAGCGTATTGGACGTGGAATCCTGGTCCAGCCCACCATAGTATAAGCAGTTCTCCGTCGCTTCGCGTCCGATCTTACACAGATAATCACCGAAGCACCCATGCCTGGTAATTATTTGTATAAATCTTAAGTCTTTCTATTCGTCGCTGCATTCAGGCTATGAAAACCGGCAAAATTGCGCCAATAACGCGTTACCGTGCATAGCGCTCCCAGTTAAATCAAGTACGCCATGTCACCTAAGGGTTCTGTTGCTCCTGCTGTTTTGAAGACTGTTTCACTGCCACCATCATCAGAATCCCACGTTTGATCTCCCTCCGGATCTTCCTACTATCTTGCTCCATGTACAGAATGTACTTGTCGCGCAAGTAGTCCCCGATTGTGCCTTGCAGGTAGACAGGTACCTGGTGATGTGCTAGTGCCCTCCTTATTGCATCCCGGAGAGTTAAAGGCGTTGACGATATCGAGACTTATCGCCAACGCCACACCACCCTGGGATATTACTTGTTCCGACAGAGCGAACGCGCGTAATGGCATCTACAGTGGAACGTTCCCGTTGGAATCCAAATTGGCTATCAGTCAAATCGGGATCAACAAGCGACAGATGTCCGTTGAGCCGAGTGGCAACTATCCTTTCGAACAATTTGCCAATCTCGTCCAACAGGCATATGGGATGGTACGCAGATGGAGAATCAGAGTCCCTGACTTCCTGCTTCAAGATGACCAACCTGTCTCTTTCCAAACTGTTGGGAACTTGACACTCTGTAGACAGCTGGTAAAAAGCTGTCTAAGCCTGTCCCCCAAGGCTGCCAGACTCAGCACTAGAGTCCAACCCGGAATTCTGTCAGTCCCCGGTCCGGTATTCCGGGCTCGCAAGTGGCTTACGGTTCTCGGTCCAGTTTCTCCAGGGTCACCCCCATCTCATCTTTCCACTGTGACGTGACGTGTCGATGGCAGGTGACCTAAGGGACTTGACCGGTCCTCTGAGAAAAGTGATGCATACATCACTCTCCCCAGCAGGTTCAATTCAATCGAGTGTTTCTATCGAGTGTTTGATCAAGGGGGGCGACCAGGGCCGGAGTTTTTGAGGGCAAACGAGTTCGCGCGCAACCTGCACGCGTAACCCGCCACCTCGTTCAATTACACCTCGTAGTCGGCGAGGGTACAGTTCGGAAAGACATAGCAGCCCACTATGGACATGGTGCCCCACTGCACTGAACAAAGCCCTGCCCCTTTGCAGGAGGACTCAGGGTGGAACACACTCATCGTCATCGAGGCCGATTCGTCACCGAACCAGCGAGGATGGTTAGGGACGTTACGGCGTACTGCTACTACTGCAAGGGTAACCCGCTACTCCATAATGGTCCGCATAAGCAGATGATACCCTGGAGGAATTTGAGGGGCGTGTATTTTAAGTATTAGCAACTTCCATTATGCCGTGTAGTGGCGGTTAAGAATATCCACTACCCCATATCTTCCCGTGGGTGTCGTAAAAGGCGACAGAGGGAAACAGGCAGGAGATGGACAGCAGCATCTTCCTGATAACAGCAACTGTACAACAAAAAAACTGCGGTTGCCAACCCGCTCACCAAGCGTGGCAACTATGGCAATATACCCCCCATGAAGAATTACACAAATAGACGGCCCTCAGTCCCCGGTGGCCCCGCTTTTCCTGGCTACAGTGGCGACCATGGTAACGGCGGGGCAGGGGTGTTAAGAATCTCCGGTGGAGGTTCGGTTGCCACCTACGACGACTCGACCTGACAACATATAACGCACGCACCCTGAGGATTGACGAGAAGATCCTGGAGCTGGAAGAAGAGATAGACAAATTGCGCTGGAATATTATAG